GTCTCCTTGCACACAGAGAATCTATAAATGTCCAGTGAAATTTGGTTAAGAGAGGGATCCCTCATTGAATGCAATAGTGTTTGTCAAGTCCCAACCTAGTGTGAATTTTTATATCCACTTCATAAAACCCTAAAAATAGGTTTATAACAGGAAAATATTCTTAACCAAAGCAGATTGAATGCGCTGCTCAGATATATACAGTATCAGCTGACATTTTCAAAGCAGAGATTTAGCAACACATCCTCCGTTAATTGCAATGACTAGGGGTATATCTACACAGCTGCTGTGATGAACACAGATGTGCCACTGAGAAGCACACCCTACCCACTCACTTCTGCTCTGTGGAAGCCCATAAATTAAGCAGTGTAGCAAGTTAGCACAGCACTGAACACTTGCCTAGAGCTACTGTAAGGCTGCCTGTGTCAGGTGTGCCTCATGGTACATGCGCAGGGCCACACCAAACTGTTACCTAATCTCTGGGCTTTAGTGTGCCTAGGGTAGGAGCCACTGCAGTGCATGGTTCTCAGCAGTACCTGTGGGACTGTAATGGAGACAGCATAGACATGTTCTAAATCTTCTGGACTGTTTTGACCTTCTTAACCTATATATTTTGTATATCTAAATATAGACATGAAAAAGACACAGATGATCAGAGTCAGTTCATTCATTAGTGTTGTTTTCATTTATTACCACATACACAAAAGTGACTGTTTTCCAAGTGCAAAAGGGCTTACAGATGTTTGCACACTTGTATGTTTAACCAGCCAACACACGCATTACACATAGGAAAATGCAGAACCAGTACATTATGCAATGTTAAGTTTGAACCAATACAACCACAGGAAGTCAGGACAGTCAGGATTTTGTGCTCATAAGAGTTTACAATCTAAGGACCCGGTTTGCAAATCTGCTGAGGGTGGAAATTATTGCTGTCATGTAATGATGTAACTATTGTCATTGTTTTCAGCAGGGCTCCACATGGTCACAGAAAACCAGCTCTAAAGATCAGGGTCCAGGGTAACAGCAAACAGTGACAGTACCTAATGAGGGTGGGAAAGGACCAAGAGGAACGTGAGGAAATCCTACCCACGTTGAGGTCAACTTTAGTGGGACTACGATTTCACTCAGTAAGGTGATGTGGTTAGTATGAGTCAATTCCTATTTCACCTTTATTTTTTAAGTGGCTCTTACATAGTTATGTAACTTATATTTTGGGCACTGGCTGAAAGTTTAAACTCTTATTTCCAGCTGCTGAAGAATAGGATCATCCAAGTATGTGTATAATGGTTGGAAGGAACACAAAGGAGGACAACCCTTCCCTCTCTGAGCCAAAAAGCCATGTGGTGAGAGCACTTGCCCAGGGAATAGAAAAGCCAACTTCTAGACTCCCCGAGCAACTATACATACAAGATGTCTGCTCCAACATAATTAGGGCACTTTATAGTTAGAGTGGCTCTGAGTTCTGCTTTAATTAAAGCACCTGTAGTGTCACATGTATTCAGCATCCCTGCACTTGCAAATGGTGGTGGGGGCACTTTAACTAAAGCTTGTTGAACAAGTATTAAAGTGCCCCTGCTGCCATTTTCAAGCATACAACACTGAATACACATGGTGCTGTGGGTGCTTTTATTAAAGCAGTACTCTGAACCACTCTAATTAAAGTGCCTCTCTCCCCCACCCAGGAGCATGTGTAAAGATGTTCTATGCTTCTCAGAGCAGGTTTTAACCTGCAACTCCTACTTAGCAAAATGCTACAACTACCAAGCCTTGGGCTAAATATAGCCCAGGCCATTTTCCAGGCCTCTTCTTGAACATAACACACTTTGGTGGCCAATCGAGGAAGAGGAGCACAAGCTAGAGAGAAAGTGGCTCATCAAGAGGACCCCATCCTCACAGGGAGGGGTGCTTTGGGTTGAGATTTTTACTCTGCCCCAGTGGGGCAGAAATTTCTACAATTAATCCAATGAATATTAGGGCTAGGGACCAGGGCTAGGGACAGACATTCAAAAAGCCTGAGCCTGAATTGATTCAATCTTTGTAGGTTAGTTTAACCTGGCTAGGCTAAACCGGTTTTTGAACTGCACAAACATCCCCTCTGGACTAAGGAAATTAAGGCACATGCCTGCAGTGGCTCAAGCTAGAAGCCAGGGGAGGGGGAGGGAGCGCTAGAGCAGCAGTCCCTGCCCTTCTACAGTGCTGAGCTGAGGGGGGTGTGGCCAGTCCCAGGCAGGATGCTCTTATTAAGGAGGGTTCTCCCCCGCCACTTGATACCAGAGCATTTATCATCTCTGTTATCAGCATTTAGCACCTTATCATAAAACAAAGCCTCTCTCATTAGTTCAAGCTCTTCTTAAA